AGGAGGAGGAGGAGGAGGAGGAGGCGGACGAGGAGGAGGAGGAGGAGGAGGAGGATGAGGAGGAGGAGGAGAAGGAGCACACATCTCGGCGGACCGACCTCGTGCACCCGACCTCGGGCGCAACGCCCCAACGATGGGTGCGGCGACCGAGCCAGGGCTGCCGCCCCGCTAACACCCCGCGTGGGGGGCGCAGGCGGTGACGCGCGCTGTCCCCGACCAGGCCAGCCTGGGCGTTGAACCCCAAGGGCGGGCGGGTGAAGCAGAAAAAAATCCGCCACCGACCGAGGCAGCCCCGCACCCAGGAGCGGGCGGGTGGGGCAGAACGGCCGACGGGCCCGCGCCGCGGGCGAGCGCCCCGCGAGCGCGGCGCGAAGCAATAATACGAAACCTGCGAAGCAGACGGCGCCAGGGCGCGCCGCGACCCGCCCCGGCACGATCCCCGCGGCGCGCCTGCGCGAGCGCCCGCGGCAGGCCCGCGCGCGACAACACAGAAGCACCAACCACCGAGCGCGGGCGGCGCGCCCTGCGGTCGGGCTGCATGCGTCGCGCGTCGCACGCGCCGCGGCGCCGCGGGGCCCGTCGGCCGACCTGCGATTTGTGCCCGCGCAGCATCCTGCACGTGTGCGCCCCCGAGCAGCAGGAGGCGGAGGCGGAGGAAAAGGAGGCGGAGGAGGAGGAGGAGGAGGACGAGGAGGAAGAGGAGGAGGAGGAAGAGGAGGAGGAAGAGGACAACATGGGTCTCGCTGCGGCCCCGACCTTGTGGACCGCAGGATGTATGCTCAATCGGTGCCGCATGAGCATGCAGATGGTGAAAAGGGGAATGGTACACCGCCCGATTATTCTGGAGCGTCTACGTCCGTCCACTCAAAGGTGCAGTATCCAGTGCGCGCAGAGCTTTGATGCGGCAAGTGGGATCCAATCGAGCAGAGTATGAACAACCACCGAATTAAAGACCTCTTCCAGCTGCTGCAGTACATATCGGCACGCCCTTCGGTTTCCACTGGCACGTACAAAGGTAAACAGTGTGATTTGATATCCCAAAGATCGCTCCAGGAGGAGGCGAGCGAGCTAATGCAGAAGTTGAGCGAATCTCGCTTGACCATGGCCGTTATGGGGAATGTGTGACACACTTCGCCGTATGATGTGTGGAGATAGCGACAGTGAGTCGGACTGGCCGAGTATAGTGGCCACCAGCATGCACAGCAGTTTTGGAACATTCCTCTACGTCAGGCACTTTTCGGTCACATGGTGACGATTATGTTTCCCAGGACCATTTGAATTTGCGTCTGCCCAAGAATGTTGAGGTCGTCGGCGCCGCATGGAACTCATCGGATGCTGTGCTAAGTTTGTTTCCTAATGCGATGATGCTTTTATCCAGATCTGCACTTCCACTTGAGTTGAACTCCATTGTTGCCAGTGCTAGTTACAACGAACACAGAGGCGCAATCTGCTGTGCGCGCGGTATGCATTCCCTCGCCGTGTAGTGGGTCTGAATTCTGGCAGTGGTTGGACTGTGCTGAGTTCGCTTGCAGTGATTTTGACAGAAGACAGCGGCGGCGCCCTTCGAAGACGCACGCCGTGGGCATGCCTCTGCGTAGCCCGTGTCTAGACTTTGGCTCTAGACTGTTGCCGGCGCAAGTGCGTAGTGAGCAACCTTACTTGCAACATACATTATGTTGTCGTCCACGGTGTGTTCGTCCACGCTGGAATGCGATTGTCAAGCTTAAAATATCGAGGCGGGTTCGATCAAACGACTGTCCCGTTGCACCCTGAGAGGTCGTCTAAGACCTGCCAGCATTGTGGTATTTTAGGCTATGCGAAATGAAACATAGCCTGTCGAAGAACCCAACCGTACGCAGCTGTCAGTATCGCTGTTGTAGTATCGTCTTCAGTGGAGCCTCCTATCGGGCCACAAAACGTGTGAGTGGTGTGCCGAAATGGGTGCGGCGGGCGCATGCGAACGCAGCCACTGGGGCCTTCGGTGGAGCTCCCTGTGGGGCCACGAAGGGGTGTGCCGAAATTGGTGCAGCGGGCGCATGCGAACGTAGCCATTGCGGCCTTCGGTGGAGCTCCCTGTGGGGCAACGAAACGTGTGCGGGGTGAGCCGACATGGGTGCGGCGGGCGCCTGCGAACGCAGCCATTGCGGCCTTCGGTGGAGCTCCCTATTCGGCGACGAAGCGTGAGGAGTGTGCCGAAGTGGGTGTGGCGGGCGCATGCGACCGCGACCATTTGGGCCTTCGCCGGAGCTTTCTATGGGTCCACGAACTGTGTTAGTGGTGTGCCAGAATGGGTGCGGTGGGCGCATGCGAACGCAGCCACTGGGGTCTTCGGTGGAGCTCCCTATGGGGCCACGAACTGTGTGACGGGTGTGCCGAAATCTGTGCGGCGGGCTCCGGCGGGCGCATGCGAACACGGCCATTGGGACCTTAGGTGGAGCTCTCTATGGGGCCACGAACTGTGTTATTTGTGTGCCGAAGTGGGTGTGGCGGGCGCATGCGA